TGGTAACCGCTACCGCTCAGAGGATGTGGCTGTGGGCCGTCGCGTCCGCTGCCGCGGAGCTGGGAGCCCAGCGGACCAGGCTGTCGACCATCTGGCCGTGGCTCATCGCGGGGATCAGCGCGTGGAAGATTGCGAATGCGCCGCCAAAGCGCTCGACCTGGGCGAAGAAGCACACCAGCCAGATGAAGAAGGAGCCAACGTGGACGAAGAAGAACATCACCCAGATGGGAACATCCATGAAGAACATGCTGAAGATGCAGTAAAAGGGGCCGACCTGGACGAACAAGGACGTCACTATTCATCCACGCACAAAATGCTGAAGATGTCGCACATGAAGCTGGCCTGGATGGAATATATCACCACCCATGTGAAGAAGCAGCCGACCCGGATGAAAAAGCACGCCACCCAGGTGTACGCATCCACGTGCAGCATGTCGCACGCGCTTCAAGAGGGGACCACCTGCAGGATGCGAAATTGTAGGATAGGTCACATCTACTGGTGTGTGATCGTACTGTCCGTCGAGCCGCAGTTTCTGCTCTTGCCCCAGGCGCAGGCGCGCAGTGGCATGAGCCAATCGGTGGCATCCCTGGCGCAACCGGCGCCAGAGGGGAACGATGCACCGCCTCGGAAAACGGAGGGGTCCAGCACCAGGAAGCAGAAGACAACCAGGTGGCGAAGATAGCCTCGCCCTCGAAGCTTCCGACGATCTCCGTGGACACCTCGCCCTCGAGGAGCGCGATGCCGGGTAAGTCCTGCCCGGCGCGCGCTTGAAGCGGACCGCTTCGCGCCGATCAGTAAGTAGTGGTAGAGTGAAGGGTCGTATTGTGGAGCAGGCTGACGGTCCGTCCTGCTGCTCCAAAACTTGCCACATACGCGCGAGCCCCAAGCACATGACAAGTATTCCCAAAAGAACTAGATTGTGAAACATGCTAGCCACCAAACTCCCCCCCAAGTAAGATGGACTCCTAGAAATTGTACATGCTGTCAGGCCCTTGGTGACTGTCGCGTTGAAGCAATCTGAGGTCATGTTGAGGCCCGTCTCGACGCTGTCGGCGCAGGGCAACAGCATCAGGCAGATCAAAACTGCCCAGGTCATGCTCATCTTGGTGGTACGTGTCGTAGCAGCCATTCGCCTCCCCCAGGTGGGGGATGCCTCAACCACGCGTGTCCCAAAGGGCGCGGACGCTGCTGCTGGTGGTGAGTCGTTCAAGGCGTGCCTGAAAGCCCAAAGAGCCCCCCTCGTTTTCTGGGACGTTATTTGTGGCGTCGCGTCGCCCAGAAATATCCCACAGGTCGCGTGTGCCTCCCGCTGGAAGAAAAGACCACTGTGGGCGCAGGAGAGGCTCTGGTTTTCAGGCCGTTCCTCGGATATGGGTCGGGGAACCTATTCGTGGCCGAGGTTGGACGTGGCCAGGAGGTCTGATTCGTGCCTTACACGGCGTTCTTAATGGTAGCACAGTGGCTGTACACTCGGGTCGCTGAATAAGGAACCGTTTTCGTTGGGGAGGGGCTCGATGATCCTTCATCGTGTTATAGATTTTCCTAGGTTTTCCTTGTGTTGACTACGGGAGAGCGAAGTTTAATATATGGGAAGAAAGGGGCCTCGTTCCTTGTTTAGGGTTCCTTATGGCAGCGTTTCGACTGTAGTCTGGTGGTGGCCCGTGTGGCTCGTGCATCCGTTGCGGCCCGCCTCTCGATTCCGTGGTACGTAGGCCAGGGACTGGGCGAGCAGGAGAAAGGCAGCCTGCGCCTGGGGCCCAGCCCAGCGTGAGGTTCCCTGGCTCGAGGACCACAGCCAGGGCGCTGCTTGCCACTACACAGCGATCCGACGCTCCGAAAACATTGGGGCGGGCGGTTTTTGGCTGTTTTTGGCTTCCAGGGGCCCTCGCCAGGCCTCGGGACCGTCAGAAATCGATTCAGGACGCAAAGCCGGCCCTAGGGAAGTGGTCCGGGCCTCTGGGGCCCACGCATCGAACAACATTGGAGCAGCCGTCAACTGCCAACGGTGCAAGCCGATGTCCGTTGCCCGTGAAGCGTTCGTTGCGCAACTTTACATATCGTGCCTATTTTATTGTGTTGCATTCTCCAGCCGCCTGGCGTAATAATGAAATGCATGCACGATCGTTTCACCAAGCTCTCCCGAACAGGGTCGGCACAGCTCCACGGCACCCCGCGCGTCCCCAGGACTCCCTTCGGCAGTCTGGGTCTCGTTGGTTTTACCGAGCTTATGCGGGGCCGTGTGGAAAACAGCGTCGTGATGCTGCACAGTAGCGTGGCCGCAACATTGCATGCTTGTCGCGTTGTCTTGTTGGGGCTCCTTGGAGACTCATTGGGGCCTCCATCGGGGCCTTTCGGGGGCTTCTTGGCGCCATTTTGGAGGGGCCTCGAGTGGGGGCTTCTGGAGGGCCTCCTGGGGGCCTTGCCTTAGGCGCCATGGTCCTACCGAGCCCCTTCCCTTGAGATCCGACGTTGCGAAACAATTGCAACGTCGCGAGAAGTCACGACCGGAGCCCTGGACCCCGTCTTCCTGCTGCACCCTCGAGCCGAGTCGACCCGTGATGGCCCCGGGGCCCGAAATTGGGCGACGGCGCCCGAGGTGAGCAACAATGCAGCGCCCCGATCTCGGGGTCGAGGGCGCTCGGCAGGATGACCCTGTGGGGCCGTCTGGCCTGGTCTCCCGGGACCCTCCTGCGGCCTCCGTCGGGCGATCTGCGCCCGCCCCCCACGCCGGGCCCCGCGACCCGCGGTCGCCGCGCCTTCCGCCCTGCTTCCACGGCTCGAGGCGGCCTTGGAGACTGCAGGGCCGTTTTTTTACAGTTTCGTGCTGCAGCTTTTGTGCCGGTGCCAGCGACGCTTTTTGTTGTTGTGGTAGTAGTAGTAGTAGTAGTAGTAGTAGTAGTAGTAGTAGTAGTAGTAGTAGTAGTAGTAGTAGTAGTAGTAGTAGTAGTAGTAGTAGTAGTAGTAGTAGTAGTAGTAGTAGTAGTAGTAGTAGTAGTAGTAGTAGTAGTAGTAGTTAGTAGTAGTAGTAGTAGTTGTAGTTGTAGTTGTAGTTGTAGTTGTAGTTGTAGTTGTAGTGGTAGTTGTAGTAGTTGTAGTAGTAGTAGTAGTAGTAGTAGTAGTAGTAGTAGTAGTAGTAGTAGTAGTAGTAGTAGTAGTAGTAGTAGTAGTAGTTGTAGTTGTGTTGTTGTTGCTGTTGCTGTTGTTGTTGTTGTTGTTGTTGTTGTTGTTGTTGTTGTTGTTGTTGTTGGTGTTGGTGGTGATGTTGTTGTTGTTGTTGTTGTGGTTGTTGTTGTTGTTGTTGTCGTTGTTGTTGTCGTTGTCGTTGCCGTTGTCGTTGTTGTTGTTCTTGTTGTCCACAAGCAAGGAGTTATGAGCCATAAACCAATTATATACAAATAAAGAAGCCCCGGCTCGGTCGCCGCTCTTTTATGATTCTGGTTCTGGTTCCAATCCCGGAGCTGTTTTTGTCCCCGCTTCCTGGGAGGAGTTTGGGTTTAGAGTTTTTGAGAACGGCCCAGAAGAGGCCTTGGCCTGGGGCCCGCTCAGTCCACTACCCGCCTCGCGGCCCGCCTCGCGGCCCGCCTCGCGACCCGCACGCGACCCGCGCCCGCCGTGGAACAGGCGCCCGCCGCGGCCAGCGCCGCCCGCGCCCCGCGCCCCGCGCCCCCTTCGCAGGAGGAGAAGGTTCCGATACCGCTGCCCTGCTCTCATTTTCGCCTTTTGGGGCCTCCTGGGAGGCCCTCGTCGCCGCGGCTTGATTCGCCTCGAGACTCTGGCCAGAAGGCACCCCCGGGAGAGGTCCAGGGAGTGACGGTATCGGTATCTTTTGGCTTCCCCAGCCCCCTCACTCTTCCCAGATTTCTTCGAGTCGTGCAAAGACTTGATCACGACGGCAGGTCTTCGGCCATTTTCGGCCTCTGGGGGCCACCACCAGGCCGCAGGATCGTGGGAGACACGACTCTGGATGAAAAATCGGTACTGGGGAACCGGTGCAGGCCTCTGGGGGAGACCTTTGGGGGTCGAGAGCTCCCAGATCTCCGACGATGTGATTTTGTCAGCCAGCGCTTTTCCTTCGACTTCGGCCTTCAGGGGCCAGTTTTTTCGGCTCAAATGCGGCTTGGGAGCGAGAAGCTGGCTCCGCGAACAATCATGCTGACGGATGTCGGGGTCCGCGCCGCGCGCGCCCCCTAACTCTTCTCTGGAGCTGCGGTACCAGCCCGAAGTATATTGCCGTTCCTGATGTCTTGCATCGCCTTCTCTTCCTGCCGATATTACGGGTTCGCTCGGTTTCTGAGGGGACACATTTTGTCATCGGCTTGGGGCTTGTCAGGCTTTGGGGCAGGGATGAGCTCGAGGCTGGTTTAGGACTTCTGGATGTCGCTTGCTCATTTTTTCTCGTTCCTGCTGTTCCGACGTTTCCTCGCCTCCAGGGAGCGCGGCAAGTTCTGGACGCTTGAAGCACCTCTGTGTTTTCTGCCCGTCGGCGGCGGGCGCCGGGACTGTAGTTGTCAGTGGTGATTTGTGTGCCCGGCTCGGCACGTTCAGCGCGAAGGGTAACAACAGACGGGTCGGCAGCACCCCGTCAGGGTCGCCTAGGATCCGATCCGATGCGGCTCGATCCGCTGGCAGGAGCCACGACTCCGATCCGAGTCGATTCGGTCCGATTCACCGGCATCGGCTGGGACCAGGCAGGCCAGGAGCAGCGATCCGATTTCGATGCGATTCGGGACCATTCACTGGCGATCCGCTACGTTTCCGATCCGCTCCGACTCCGCGATTCGCTCCAGCTCAGGCCTGTCGGTGCGAAGCCGAAGCAGTGGACCGCACATGAGAGGCTCTCCACCCTCGTCGTTTCTGTCAGGGCCACGGAAATGTCTTATCCCCTGGATGGCCCCAGGAATCCACGGAAGCTCTGGGGCACCTCAGAGCTCAAAGATCGACGAGGAATGTGCCCAAAGATTTCCCATGGCAGGATTTCTGATCCCATCCGTCTACTCTAGGACACCCCCTTCGCCGAGAAGGTCGGCCGCGCCTCGCTGGCGCTGCTGGAGGTGCTGCCAGGGCTCACGGTGTGGGACATGCTGCTGAGGCCTTGCGAGTCTTCGCGGTTTGCGCCTGTCTGCCGAGAACCCGTAGTCGTGTCGTACCCTGAGGTCCAGGCGTTGAAATTGTTTCGCATCGCGCGTTTTCACCGCGCTTCGGGCCCCAGGACCATCACAGGTCGATCCGTTTTGAAAAACGCAGCAGAAAAGCGGTATATAGGGCTCCGGTCGTGATTTGTCATGATGTTATGTTGCATTTTTTCGCAACGTCGGATCTCATGGGAGTCGTCTCTGCAGTCGGCTTTCTGCGCCGTCTCCGTGGGCATCGCCACGTGCCACGAGTTGGCCACTCGCAGTCGCCAGCGACAGCGTCGTCATGGTCGTTGCTACGTCGTCATCGACGTCATCCCTTCTCTCCTTCCTCATCATTCCATGTGGCAGCTTGGCGGGGCTTGGGGTAGCAGAGGAGATCGTCGTGTTTACGTTCGCTTGTATTGCACTGCCACTTCTGTTGCTGTTGCTCAATTCTTCTGCGCTCCGCCTTCGTTCGCTGACAACGCTTCCTTATCTTGCGGTGCTTTGCTGTCTTGGCCTGTGCGCTTTGCAATGCCAAGGGACTGGGACGGGCGCGACGTCAACCAGGCGGGCTCCTTTTTGTTTTGTCCAAAGCCATATGTGAAACACGTGTCCTATTTCACAGCGTCGCTGGAATCTAAGGGACACAGTAAGCGAGCATGCCGCCACAGTCATGCCCACGACTTGCTGCATGCTCGTAATCATTACCCCACGTCTTGTACGTTCTGCAGTAACCGGGCGCAGTCATGGAGTGAGTCCGTCACCTATTGCTGATATGATAGGGGCCATTCTATTACGAATGAGGAAGTGAAAGGCAGGGAGAGCAAGGCAAGGGTTGAGGTGGGAAATGAGCCAGGGAGGGGACAAAATGGGGAAGGGAGGGAGGAAAGGAAGAGGAGATTCGGAATGCTGGTTTAGTTGGACGTAAGTGGTGTCAGAGATGCTCTGGGCTGGAAGCAAGCCCGCAACCATGTATACATCATATTCGGAAAGGACCCCATCCTCCCAATAAGCGATACATTCAGACCATGACTGGTAGCCCACCTGGCGTGTCTACGCGTTCTCTCTCCCTCTCTCTCTCTGAAGTTTGTGTTCAGACAAACGCTGGAGCATGGCCACTGCTCACAGCCCCGGTGGTGAGGATCGCTGCATCGCCGTCGCTCTTCGGCTCCTCGCGGTGCCAGGCGCGGGAGAGCTGGCGCCCGAGGGGCGCGCGCATCCGAGCGCGAGGCCCGGGCGGCCTCAGGGGGTGCGGGGCGAAACCGGCGCGCCCGGTTCGGTCGGCAGCCCCCGCTGTTGTCCAACAAGTCGGCGCCCTGCTCCGTTCCCTCCTCCCTCGCCCCTGCGACGCCCTGCCTCCTGCACCCTCCCCTTCTCCCCCCCCTCCTTGCTGCTGCCTCCTCCTCCTCCTCTTCCTCCTCCTCCTCCTGCTCCTCCTCCTCCTCCTCCTCCTCCTCCTCCTGCGAAACCAGCGCGCCCAGATCGGTCGGCAGCCCCCGCTGTCGTCCAACAAGTCGGCGACCCACTTCCCTCGCCTGAAGGCCGCCACGGGCGTCGGCTTCGACAAGTCGGCGGCGCGCCGAGGGGAGGTGGTGGGACGGCCGAGGGGGCGGGCGCTCTCAGACGGCCCGGAAGGCCTCTGGCCTTTCTGGCGAGCTCCCGAGGCCTTCTCCAGGGCTCCAGGGGGCTTCCCAGAAGGCCCGGGGGCTTCTGAGAAGCGCCGCCGCCTTCGAGGGGGCCTGTGCTGCCCAGGGGAGGTCGGGCTTTTCGGGTCACGGCTCGGGCCTCCCGCGGCCGTCTGGGACGATCCACGCCCCCCGAGGCCAGAACACCGCCGAGGACCGACGACGACGCCGGCACGCCTCGAGCCTCGAGCCTCGAAGCTCCCGGACTTGCCCCCCGAGGGGCACCGTTCACCAGGCCACCCCGACCCAGCCCGAAGGCCCCGATGAGCCCTCCATTTCCACTGGGGGGGGGGGGGCTCGGGGAACATTGGAAAACCACACATGAAGCCCGCACCCCCCCCCCGAACCCGGAAGTCGGGTCGTCGGGTCGGGTTGGGGTGGTGTGGTGGGCAGTCCCGAGGGGGCCCGCCCCCCCTCGCGCCCCCCCCCCCCCCCTCGGCCCTCGGCGCGCCGCCGGGCGAGATGCTCTTCTTCGACGACTGCCTCTGGGGCGACCACTGCGGCATGGTGGCCGCGAACTGCAGGGAGGCGAGCGGACGAGGCCCCGTCACCGTGAGGGCCGCGGTCGCCCGGCACCCCCCGGGGCCCTGAGGACCTGCCCCTCCCTCCCTCCCTCCCTGCCTCCTTCCTTCCCTGCCTCTCTCCTCCCTCCTCCCTCCCTCCCTCCCTCCCTCCCTCCTCCTCCTCCTCCTCCTCCTCCTCCTCCTCCTCCTCCTCCTCCTCCTCCTCCTTGTCTCCCTCCTCCCTTCTCCTCTCCCCGCTCCCCTTCCTCCCTCCCCCCTCCCTCCCTCCCTTTCCCCCTTCCCGCTCCCCTTCCTCCCTCCCTCGCCTCCCCTCTCCTCCTCCTCCTCCTCCTCCTCCTCCTCCTCCTCCTCCTCTTCTCCTCCTCCTCCTCCTCCTCCTCCTCCTCCTCCTCCTCCTCCTGCTCCTCCTGCTCCTCCTGCTCCTCCTCCTCTGCATCCTCCTGCTGAAGATGAGGAAGATTGCAAGGAATGCTGGAGACAGGACTCCTTTTCAAATAGTTTCACTTCGTATGCTGACCACCCCGTGCGAATGTGCGCCGGTCTCCCAGCTTCAGCGCTGGCCTAAAGCTCACAGCACCTCAAAAGCCAGTAAGGGTACACATGCTCACTTCTCACTGCTACTACTCATCATGCAGCTCTTTGCACGCACCTCCCCAGGCCCGCTCCAAAACACATGCAACGGACGTCGCCTGTTCGCTACATGCTTCCCCTTTTTGCCCTGAGGAGCGTCTTCACTCGTTGCTGAATTCACCTCCTATGGTCATGCATTAGGGTGGGCATCACGACAATGGCATCGTAGGGCGAGCACTTCTGTGCGTGCTGCGGCCGGACCGTCACTGTGTCACCCCCGCGAATTATGACGACGTCACCACTGCAGCGGCTGCCGGAATCCTCTGACCAGCCGCTTGCAAGCAAGAACGGTGATGATCGTCGCGGGGTGGGTCAGCTGCTCAGGCGCAGCACTGCCGAATGCGAGCACATGTGCCGTCTGGTGGAGCTTATCGCAGAAGATGCCCAGAGCCTCGTCGTCTTTCCTGCCATCCAGCGTGTCGACGCCGCCTGCCATCGACCCCTGCGGCAAGATATGGCGGTGTACTGGCGGCACGCCCCACCTTCCATCTGCTGTGTCTACCGCGTCGAGCCAGTCCCCCGTATGATCTGGCAGATGGTCTGCCCTCCTGGGGTGCTGTTGCCCGATATGCGCAGCTTCTGGACAGCGCATGGTAACGCGGCTCTTGTCCTGCTGGTTACGCAGATCATGGTTGGTGGCATAATCCGTGTCGTAACGCTGCTTTTTGTCCACTGCCGGCGTTCCCTGGGGATGCGCTGTTGTCCTGGCCTCCAGCATCATATCCGGCATGTCCGGTGGGCTCGTGAGCAGCGCAAGTCCAGCCAGCACAGCGGCTTGCACACTATTATCCACGAGACTGCAGAGCATGCCGATACATGGCTGGCAACACCAGGAAGCCATGGGGCGCATTTCCAGCACCAACGGGGCCTCAGGGCAGTGCTTGAGGCCATACCCTTTGCGTGTCAACGAGTTGGTAGAAACCGTCCATAACCTGCTCCTTGGTCCACTGGGTGGCGTCCACGTGGCCAGCAGTTTTGACACTCATCTTCTGGGACCACTGCTCGATGGACCTGATGCGCTGGACGGTATCCGCCCCTTGCCAGAACGGCATTGGGCCCGCCTCCGCCTCGGTCCGCAGTTCCCTCATCCCGCGGCGCACAGGCGAGGAGCCAGGCTTCGGTGTGGCCGCGTCGTGCACCTCGGGCGTGACGAGCCGCCAAAAGAGGGCCGCCAGCCCAGCCGACCCGGGCCCAGGCGCCTCAGGGGCGTCCTCGCGCCGCCTGTGCGGCTGCGGCCCTGCTGCAGCTGCTTCCGCCGCTGGGTGGACCCCCCCGAAAGTCGAACGAGCATGTTCTTCACTTCCCTCCTCCCTCCTCCCTCCTCCCTCTTCTTTCCCTCCTTCCTCCTTCCTTCTCCCTCCCTCCCTCCTCCATCCGCCGCTCTCCTCTCCACTGCATACCCCTTCATCGCCGCCCCGCTCCCTCCCATCATCACCCACCTCCTCCTTCCTCTCTCCTCTCCTCCTCCTCCTCCTCCTCTCCTCCTCCTCCTCCTCCTCCTCCTCCTCCTCCTCCTCCTCCCCCTCCTCCTCTTCCCTCTCCTCCTCCTCCCCCTCCTTCTCCTCCTCCTCCTCCTCCTCCTCCCTCCTTCTCCCTCCTCGTCCTCCTCCTCCTCCTCCTCGCCCCTCCGACGCTCTGCCTCCTGCACCCTCCCTTCTCCGCCCCTCCTTGCTGCTGCCTCCTCCTCCTCCTCCTCCTCCTCCTCCTGCTGCTGCTGCTCCTCCTCCTCTTACCTCTTACCTACCTGAGGGGCGGAGTCCACATGGCGGAGCCCCTAGTATAAAAGTTCGGGGGGGGCCCATCCGAATTTGTCACTCACCGACTGGGCTGCGATCCACCCAGTCAGTGAGCCGCGACAGGGCCCCCTCCCTTCAGAAAAAAGCGATTGGGGGCGGGAGCTCCAAAGAGGGTTCAGGCTCGGGCCAGGCCATGATGTCCCTCGGGAGCTTTCCCGCCTCAAGAGCACGCAAAATCTTCCCTCCGTGCTTCGAGACAATCCCCGCGCACTCTTTGGAAAGCTTGTTGAAAGTTGTGGCGGCATAGCTCCCACAATCCCTGCACCAGAAGACTCCACGAAACCTCTGGAGATGGCGGTGGGAGAAGTGAATCTTCGCAGGAAGTCCAGGGCACTCCATGCGGAGCCAACTCTCCGCAGTCCCCGTCGGGGACGTGAGGCATTTGGAACACTTCAACGGCTTGCCAGGACTCTCGACGAGGCAATGAGAAGTGGACGCTGTGAGGGCCGCAATCTCCGACTGCTTGGCCTTCCTACGCCTCTTACTCTCTCGCTTGCGATCTTCGGCATTACTGGCTCCGTAGATCTGAGAGGAATTCACAGCAATGAAATGCGAAATAGTAAGGATATGCTCCTGGACCTCTCTGCTGAGCTTGTCAATGCGTTCTACTTCATCGGTCGCCCAGCGGGGCAATTGAGCCTCCTTGGCGGCTTGATCCGCCAGCTTGTCTGCAACAAAGTTGGCAACCCAATGCTCAAGCCTGCTCCTTCTGACCAGGACTGCATCTGAGGCCGACTCATGCGACTTGATTTTAATCGCCAGCACTCGCCTACCCTCGCATTCCTGCCAGAGCAGGTCCCAAAAAGTAGAATTTTCCGTGTGGCGGAAACGGGGGCCCGAATTAATCCCGCTCACCACCGAATCATTGTCTCCTATAAAGACTAAATCACCTGCGGTTAGTTGGGCCATCCTGTAGCAGGCCCATAACTCCGCAAGGGGCACAGTTTGCTTGAACGTGGGAAGGGGCCCTTTGGCCCAGGCCAGGAGTTCTCCGTTGCAGAAAATAGCTCCTCCCCAGCCACACCGCCTGATCCTAGGGTCCGCAGAGAACAGGCCACCAGACCCATCTCCTCCAAGGTAGGCTCCTGGGGGAAGGACTAACTTCTCGCCTTGAAGCTCAGGGGAAAGGGTTTCTACCCCTTGGATCTCCAAATGCCTAATGTTGAAAGTCCAGGCTAAGGGCGTGAGGCCCCTAAGCCAGAAGCATGGCTCATCTTTCCACTCCTGGCGCGCCTGAGACAAGTGTTCCCAGTGTAGCCCCTCTTGTGGGAGCTCAGAATTGCACTTGCAATCCCAGATTTGGTGGAAAAGCGTTTCCTCGCACTCGTGGCATCGGGGGCACAGCGAAGAATTCCAAGCCGCGACACTCGCTGGCTCTTGACTCGTGGCCTGCTCGGCCGACTCTTCAGGTGGTTCCTCCTCCCCCACATCCGACGGGAACTCCTCCTCCTCCAAGAGGTCCCCTTCGGGGTCGTCCAAAGAGGTAGCGGCCTGCGGGGGCTGAGGAGGGACATTGGAGGGAGAGGAAGCACTAGCAGCAGCAGGCTCGGAGGCCGCAGCAGCAGGCAGCGCAGCAGGAGGATCAATCTTAATGCCCCCGCGGCTTTCACTACCGAATCTCCTAGCTGCTGGCCACAAGGCTCCTGTTGCAATCATGCGGAGCACCTCCGCTCTGTCGTACGCTTTCTTTCTGGCTAGCTTGTTGAGGTGTCTCTTCAAAATGGTGAGGTCTACTCCATCCTGGGCCCCTCTACCGTAAACATGAGAATCAGCGGCACGAATCCAACACTCATGGTCTAGTGCCTGCTTAATTTCAAAATTGAGAAGATGATCCCTGTCGAGCTCAAGTATGTTCAAGACTTCACCTCTGGGCGTCCTCCACGCAACAGGTCCTAAGGGTTCCCAGTGGAGGTCAAGCAGACTGGCCACGACAGCGCTAATAAGGCCTTTGACACGAGCCCAGGGTCTGACATCTTCCTGCAGGTGAGCAACTGTTTTGCGCCAGACGATCTCGATGGCTCGCATCTTCTCAGGCATGTGAGATAAAATTTCCAGCCATGAAGCGAAAATCTGCATTCGCCCATGGATCATTGGATCATCGGCTTCAGTGAACCCTAGTCTTATGCAAGTGGTTGGGCATCCTCCTGGCTTCTTGTAACCAGAGAGGGCTGCCACCGAAGTTCGAAGCTTTAAAAGAGTTGTCGGACTGAGGCCTTGGGCCATCTGCCCATACGTCACTGCTGGACGGTACCCCGTCTTAGCGAGGACTCGAGCTTGGGGCACAGATTTGACTAGCTTGGTGATCTGGACAGCACGCTTTTGTCCCTTGGCAAGGCGATCTTTGATGACCGCAGTGGAACGCCTGGCCGTGTGGCCGTCAATCCCCAGGTCCCGAACATGCGTTGGGCACTTGAGGGGCACTCCAGCGTCAGCAAGAGCCCTCGAGATCTCCTTCGCGAGGCGAGGGGGGTAGGTGAGGATCGCCGACTTGTCAGACACCTTAAAACCAGCCCTACCAAGACGTGCTGCTAAAGAAATTGAGATTGACTTCGTACGTGTGATGACGTCGGCTTCTCGGCCAATTTCGACTTGTCCCAAGTCGTCCACC